ACCTGCGGTGGTGCGGGGGGTGAGGGTGGCCACACCTCCGGTGGCTCGTGAGGTGGCAGAGGTTACGCCTCCATTGGTTTGGGAGGTGGCAGCAGCAGCGATGACTCCTCCAGAGGTTCGGGAGTCGTCAATGACGGACATCCCCCAGGTGTTCCGGAGGCGACGAAGGTCACACCCCCGGTGGTTCGGGAGACGACGGTGGTCACACCTCCGGTGGTTCGGGAGGCGGCGGTGGTCACCTCCGGTGGTTCGGGAGGCGGCAGAAGTGGTTGTTGCTTCAGTGGTTCCGAGGGTGCCTGAGGGCGTTGCACCCTCGGAGGTCTCGGTTTCTGTGACTGACGCTCCCTCAGCAGTTCTTGGTTTGGCTGGGGGAGACTCTGACTGTTGGCATGCCTTGGTCTAGGAGAGGGACTCCTTACCAAAGACACAAGTTCCCTAGACCAAGGTACAAAAAGGGCCAGGCCAAGTATTAGGGTACTTGGGCCTAGATTTTTTTTTTCTTCTGTTTTTTTTCCCCTTGGGCCTAGTTTTTTTTTTTTTTTAGTTTTTTTGAATAGGCCTTGTTTTCAGTTCAGTTCTGTTTGCCCAGATACAGTGCTTAGCATAAGTATTCACCCCCTTGGATGTCTATGAAGATTCTCAGTCATCCAGGTCATGGTCAAGTTAAAATTCTGTTTGGCAACTGGACGTAAATTTTCTAAAAGAAAACGTTTCACCTCTAATCCAAGAGGCTTCTTCAGTTCTGAAGAACAGTTGCCTAACAGAACTTTTTAAACCCCCTTGGATGTTTTACACTTTTATTGCTTTAATAAATCAATCATGGTCAATAAAATTGATTTATTTTTCACACAAATTTATTGGAAAAAAGTATTTAATGTCAAAGTAAAAATAGAGTTCTATAAAGTAATGTTAATGAAACAGAATTATATAAAGAAAAATAATTGTTTGCATAATTTTAAATTTAATGGTCTGATTCAATAGAGGTCCATCCAATTGGTGCCAATAGTCTCACAATTAGTGAAAAGAAGATGACCTGAGTGGTTTGGGGGTGTGTCTCAAGTGATTGAGGTATAAAACACCTATGTCTGAAGGGTCCAGAGACTGGTTGATCAGTATTCATGGCTACCATTACACCATGAAGACAGAAGAACACTCCAAGCAACTCAGATAAAGGATTATTGAAAAGTACAATTCAGGTAATTGCAAGTAATTAAAAGCCATTTTTGTCAACCTGGAAAAACCATCACTCAACAGAGGAGGTGGGCTTAGACGCAACCTATCACCCACATACAAGGCACTTTTAGGAACAATACCCAAAAGATTCACCTCAGTTTCACATAACAAAGGCGCAGGTGACCGAAACCTTTCTGATGGGGACCGCAATGACCCATCAGACTCTTAACGACTGTTTACACTTTCCCAGTTGACCCCAAGGCCCCACCCACCAGGGTGGAGCTGAAGTAGCTTTATTCTTTCACACCCAGAGTATATATTTGCTGTACTCCCCACCACCAGTTAGAACTGAAGAAGCCTCTTGGATGAGAGGTGAAACGTCTTCTTTTAGAAAATTCACGTCCAGTTGCCTAACCTTCAACCTTGACCTGGATGACTGAGAATCTTCATAGACAATTCAGGTAATGGATACCAAAATATTTCTGTTGGTGCCGAAAATTACATTATTCAGCCACCACTGTTGCCATCTAACTGACACAGATAGAATGACCTGAAAAGAACCACACCTGACAACGTTGTACGTTTTACTCACTGCGAGGGGGAGCAAGAGGCCAACTGCTTCGCAGAGTTGGCTCACCTAAGTCCCAAAGTGTATGTGGACTGCAGCTCCTTTTATTGAGAAAGTTACATAAGTACTGAGCAGTTGTTTTTTCATTACGTATATACTCTTTGGGCAAAGTTCATACGATTCACATACTTGATGAGGAACAGACTTCATCCTTTGTGGACCACATCGTAAAACATTTCTAGGAGTACCTACTCCTGACAAGCAGATTATGATTTAACACACTTTGATTTAACACACTTTAGTAACTAACTATGTGTGAATCTGCCAAGATCGTAAACTGTGTGACCATGAAACAAGGAGACTAGTGAGAAAAGCGACCAAGACCCTTACGACTACTCTGAAGGTGTTACAAGCTTCAGCTGCTGAGATGGGAGAGACTGTGCATATAGTAACTGCTGCCCGGGTTCTTCACCAGTCAAAGCTTTATGGCAGGGTGCCAATGAGAAAGCCACTGTTGAAGAAAATTCATATTAGATCTCGACAAAGGGATGTGGACGACTCCACGGTCAAGTGGAAGAAGATTCTTTGGTCTGATGAGACCAAAATTGAGTTTTTTGGCCATCAGACAAGATGTTAGGTTTGGCGTAAACCAAACACTGTACATCACCAAAAACACACCATCTCCACAGTAAAGCATGGTGGTGGCCGCATCATGCTGTAGGGATGTCTCTCAGCAGCAGGCCCTGGTAGGCTTGTAAAGATAGAGGGCAGAATGAATGCTGCAAAATACACCAAAATCTTGGGGGACAATCTTATTCAGTCTGCAAGAGAACTACAGCTTGGAAGAATATTTCTTTTCCAGCAAGACAATGATCCAAAGCATACTACAAAAGCTACACAGAAATGGTTTAAAAAGAACCAGGATGATAAATGTTCTGGAGTGACCGACTACTTTATAGAACACTGTTTTCACTTTGACATTAAAAAGTTTTTTCCAATACATTTTTGTGTGAAAAAAGCCACATTTCAATGACCATGATTGATTTATTAAAGTAATACAAATGTAAAACATCCAAGGGGGTGAATACTTATGTTTACATACAAAAGCCTGATTTAATGGTCTTTTTAAACTGTTCCCTCCAGTGAACCATTGTCTGTATCTGTTTCGCCTCAGTTTTTTTCTGTATTGTCTCGTATCATCCGGCGCTGTTTTCTCAAATCAAAAGTTCCAGTTAGCTTGACTAGGAGTGCCAACAGAATCTCAAATGTTTTTTTTTTATAGCTTTATTCAAGCTGTTATTATGATTCTTCAGTGTAAAGGACTACCAGCAAAGGCATGGAAATGAAATGGCGTCTTACAGACTGTATGGACTGAAGAGGTTTCAAGTGAACACAAAACATGTGCTATTAACCTCAGTAGCAGTTACTACTCTTGCTGATATTGTTGCCTGTGATTGTGTTCTTTCCAGACTGTGGTGGCAGTAAATTGTTTTTATGTTAACTATTTTGCTTTAGAAAAAAGAAATCATTTCTGATTCATTATGATATTTTTTTTACCAAATAATTTATTTATTTTAGATATTTTTTATTATAATGATTGATCTTTTTTTCCAATGCTGCCTGGTTCATAGCTTATATTTTTGTCACGTGAGGGCATCGACATGGCAGTGAAAGATTCTTGCTGTGCGAGGTGTCTTCAGGCAAGGAGTGGAAGCAGCCGGTAGATGGTCGATTTGTTTTAATAACAAACGTCAAACAAAACAGGTCCAACAATAAAGCAAAATA